GCTTGTTTGACCTGGGCAAATTTTATTCAGACATTACTATATGTTTTTTTTTCAAAAGTCAAAAAGATAAGAACTACTACCGATGTTGCTTTTTTTTGCAAAGATACATCGATGTTGATGCTTAATGTACGCCTTGCAGTTGAATACAATATCTCTTAGAGAATAGAAAAAAGATGAAATTGAAAATGCAAAACATCGCAAAACGTTTTATTATTATTATGGATAAGAAGGTAGAACATCTATTGATTGTATTTTTCAGGGAAAAATATATAAAATTTCGTCTCTATCATTAATTAGTAATAAATTCAGCAAGAAGAAGATGAATTATTATTAAAAAACTTTGGTAATTTCAAAGTTGCTTTGAAGAAGAACAAATGAGTCACACGAAGGAATGTTCCAACTATTGAAATTGAATAGAGTTTGCTTGAAGTCTCACTGATGAATAATCTTATAAGCAATGGATTTTTCACGTTTTAGGTTAATTTAAACGCATGCTTGACAATATATATGGTTAGATTATTAAAAAATCGAAGAAATCGAACAAAAATAATTCTAATTATTTTGTTATATGAACTTTGCTCTGAATAGATGGCTCAATCGATTTTACCAATTCGTATTAGAGTTGAACCGAAAGCATCACATCGTGAAAGATATCTATGTGAAATAGATTGCAGGCGTAATCGATCACTGCGGTTTATTCGTGCTGATACTAATTCAGATCATTTAGATTATCCAACTATTGAAGTAAACAAAATTAAAATTTTTTTTTTTATTATCTATTTGTAAAACTCTGATTATTATTAACAAGATACCAAGGCAATGGAATAGTCAGCGTTTATATATTCGAGTAACTTTAGTCACGGTATGGAGTGAACAAGTACCTGTGACATGTGTACATCCATATCCAATTGATACTCGAGAATTAAATGTCATCAAAGATGCTGAAAGAAACACACTTTATTTTCCAGTATCAGAAGAAGAATTAAAAAATGGCAGAAAGAGGTAAAATACGAAAAATAAATGTTTTCTAAACAATTTTTTCGATTTAGTTTTCGAATTATTCTCAGAAAATTAACTCAACATGAATTACGAAATTATGGTCCATTATATCTTTTGAATAAAGGTTATGAAATAAAATCATAATAGAAGTCTTATTAACTGATTTATTACTTTCTTTTTTGTATTAGATGTAAGAGATATTCAACGTACAAGTAATTCACATGATGCTCGAAAATTAATGGATGTATATCAATTAGAAAGATCTCAATTAGTTTTTTCTATAGCTGAACTAGTTAGTGATAGACTATTACCTGTTATATACGACGCAACGTCTGCATATTCTAAAATAATGACTGCTATTAAAACAACAACAACAACAACAGATGATGAGTCATTTGTCAGGTGTGTACCGCAGAAAGGTAATTGGTTAGGTGGCGATGAAATTTTGATGGTTATTCCAAAGCTTAATAAGAGAAAAAGTAATCTTTTTTGTTTATTATTGTTGAATCAAATCTATTGCTTTTTTTCAGCATGTCAAGTGTGTTTTGAACATTCGACAATACATAAAATAAATCATATACCTGTAGAATTCGTAGGATTAAAAACAATTACCTTTAGAAGTCCACCATGTCCAACTAAAAATCAACGAATGGAAGTTCCTATTGTTGTTATTCAAAATGGTGAAGAAATTGCTTGTGTCAATTTTGTCTATCAATCATGTAAACAACTTTATTTTTGATATATCGAAATCTCACTTTTTCACTCTAGTTGATAAATGTTCAAACTGTAATACTGATTTTATGTTCGAATCTTTCGATGATTCAAGTATGGATGAACAAACTTCTCTATGAAATATGTCGTTTAATGAAATTGATGTATCTATATATAACCAACGTTTGCATTTTTATGAGAATTATTAATTTAAAATTGTCAATTTTATTTCAATAAAACAAAATACGGGAACTTCAAAATGACCTTTCTTGAAAGCAAAATTTTTTTATCTTCTATGGATCATTTTTCAAGTGTCGAGCGAAGCCTTTTGTTTTCAACTTATTATAGCAGATGTTTTTCATTGTGACATGGCAACATTCTTTTATTATTTTTTTTATGAAGAAAATTTTTTTCGAAAAAATACATACTTGTTCCGTGTTTCTAAATTCAAAACACACTAAAAAGAAACAGATGATTCATTCACCTTAAATTATTATAAAGGAAGAAAAAGAAAAAAAGAAGCCATGTTTGAAAATACTTTAGATTTTTCTTATCATAATCAATTTTATCTTTTTCCCTTTGCTCATGAAGATTTGAGGAAGGACATTTCAACAAACCATCATAGAAATGAAATTTGATTGAAAAAAATCCATTACCTAATAGGAAATTTACAGGTGATCGAATCTATAACTTTTTATTAATCATCATTGTCCTGTCAATCATGGCTCATATTAAGTGACATACGTGATGTACCATTCGAACTTAAATTCTATCAAGACAATATTATAGATGAAAAACCTATCGGCAAAATTCATAAAAGTTTGAACTTTAAAATATACTCCAGCTGTTTCTAATCTGGGATCGAATTCATCCTATACTTTCTATATTTCGATCTCTTTTTCTATATTTTGTCAGAAAAAAATAGATTATATCCGAAAAATTGTGATCTTTGTCGTTTCACAGAACTTTAGCTTAATTCTGAAGCGGGGAAGGGGCAGATAGGAGGGTTTTTACCCAGCTACCTACCCCTGGTCACAACTTTTCATGAAAAACGGAGAGTTTGTCACGCTATTCCCTCGGTCATCGCTTTTTATGAGTGTGAGTGTTCGTGGGTGTGGGTATGGATGTGAGTGTGCGTGCGTGTGGGCACGAGTGTGGATCAGACTACACTCCAACACACATACCCCACACCCACTCACACCCACATCCGCACTCACACACCGACCCACTCACACCCTTTAAATTCATATTAAATCGACGTAAAATATATTCAATTTATCGCATTTCTCATATTTACTTCTCTTGAATTATTGCTTTCTAGTTTAAAAAATTTCTTGAATATTTTTCAAAATTTGTCGTATGTAAATGTGAACAATTGTTGATTTAGTTTCATAAAATTTAGGCTATCTATCATTGATTCGATATAGAACTTATTAATTTTTTCTTAACTTGTTTAAATTGTTTGTGAGTCATACAAATATTTATTTTATGTTGAAAGTAGTTTATTTACGATTATTGTACGAAAGATTCAAATCTAATAAAGACTTACGCAATTTTGGAGTCAACATAAGATCTTTCTCTCAGTATATATGATCAATAGTAAACCAGGTGATGGCCAAATGAATTAGACTGAGTAATAATTACTGAAGTCCAAAATCAAACATTAACTAAATAAATATCTAGATGCTACATTACATCTTTTTGGATGATGTTTATGTTCTAATAAATTCTCTTCAATATATCAAAACTTACTTCCAACATTGTAAAACAAAGTCATTACTAATAATTCAGAGATATGAACCGCTTCTGAGAAACTCTAGTTTGATAACCATATAGATTATTTCTAGAGGATTGTTTGAAGATTTCCCTTCAAACTTGTTGAAAAATATTAGGAAAATCATTTCCCACTTGTTAAATCATACCAGTATGATGACTTTTGCCATAGGTTCTAGCTGTTTTTCAATCAGTACCAACATGCTTGCCTTCGATTTCACTGGAAAACGTCCGAAATGATCAAATATCGAAAACAGAGCATGGTATCAGTGCCTGGCAACCTGTTGGACTCGGCTTAAGCTGAAATTAAGTCTCTCTCAGTCACTTAGAATATTTTAACAGCAAGAAAACATTTGAAAATAATGCTTTTCTTTCTTATTATATTATAATCTAATGCAATACTAAATAATCAAGTGTTTACCTCTGTCTTGACCTATTTTAAGAGGATAAACTGAATGCGAAATGTCAAATAGGAGGCGAAACTACTCTTGACTTCTCATAACTAGTGTAAAAGATTATATTAATTGTAGTTTTGGTGAAGTTTCTTTGAAACAAAAAGTCATGTCAAGCTTTAATCTGACCTTTCACTCGTGTATAATAGAAAAAAAACTACATATAAAAATTAAAATTTGATTTTTGAAACACTTTACAGTTATTAAGTTCGTCATTCTGAACAATTTTACTTTTGAAAACAACTCAGAATTCCTTATGTATCTGCTAAAACTTGAATTTTAATGTATGCAGCAAAATTTGCTGCGATTATACATTTACCTCCGGTTACTCTATAAGTTTTTCTGCGGAAAAAAATATATAATAAAAATGATTGATAGTGATACTGTTTTTCACAATAATCTTCTTTGAATTATATTTAAACTCAAAAATACTAAGAAAAATAATTTATTTATTTGAAATGTCAACAACAAAAAGTGTGTGTAGCCTAACTAAAATGGAAGAAACATGTTTATTAAAAAAACGAAAAAGTAATATGCAATGTATCATAATGAAATCCTTTATAAATGATTTAACGTAGAGTATTCAATGTTCAATGAATATTTTCCTCGAACTCGATCAAGATGTTGTTGATATAACCAAAGTTGGGAATTATTTTGAGGCAGTGATTGTCGTTCAATTTGGATAGCTTGTCTATAAGACATCAATGCTTCTTTGTATTCACCTATGCTTTCATAAATTTGACCAATATTGTCGTGTATAGTTGCCAAAATGGCTTCTTTTCGATACGAAAATCTCTCCAAGTTCTGTAGCGTCTCTTTATTAAACTTGAGTTCTTTGAGATAATCATTCATTTTCTTATAGATTTCGGCGATTTTATTACAAGTCATAGCCAATTCTAAAAAGTTCACCGGATCAGACTTTTGGAAGATGTCACGTGCATCCTGATAGAATCGAATAGCTTCGTGATAATTTGTCATCTTTTCATGTACTTTACCAATGTTGTTATAACTAGTAGCTATTTCTGTAGTATTTCGACAAAAAGGATTTTGTCGGATTTGAGACACTTTTTCGAAAAAATTTCAAGGCTTCAAGGTATTCTTCCATATTGTAATGCATCTCAGCAATATTTTCGTAGGTTGTTGCCAAATTCAAATAATCAAAAGGGATAATTCTTTTATGAATACATAACTTTTCTTGGTAGAATTGTAATGATTCTAAATAATGCCCTATGTGGTTATATACCTCAGCTAAGTTGCCATAGGTAATTACTAAATCTGAATAATTTAATGGATTAGATCTGTTTTGGATGTCCAGTGCCATTTGATGATATTTCAATGATTTTGAATATTCTCCTTTGTAACGATAGGTTGAGCCAATGTCATTGTAAAGTATAGTAAAATCTAATTGACTCGAATTGGACAAGAATCGATAACTATTTAAAGCCTTTTTATATAAGATAAGTGCTTCTTTGTAATCACCTTTATGTTGTTTAACTGATCCCATTAGATGATAACGACGGCTAAGTCCTTCCAAATCGTCTTCGAATGAATTCTTAATAAGTACTTCGAAAACTTCTTCAGCTTTATCGAACTTTCCCATTTTTGGTAACAATTTACCAAGTCGATTCCATCATGTTAATCCCTGTGTTGCTTTTCGAATATTTTCAGCAAGTTCCTTTAGATCCTTGTCTTCATCGCTTGTTAAAGAGAATTCCACCAGCACAGTTTATGTTCAAGTCGTTTTATATCATCAACTCGAAATATGGTATGCATAGTAAATAAATACTCGTTTTCCATTTCGTAATAGCTTTCTTTATCCAACGAAGCAAATAAAGCAAGCATAGGAGAGGTACGATCAATATTTATATGAAAAACAACACCTTCTAAGTCAGGATTATCTCGAGAACTTAAAGCAAACGAAACAGCCACATTCAGATTGATGCTTGTTGACAAGAAATGGTGAATCGAATAAAGACCACCTTTCAATGCACGTAACTGCGGAACGTGTCTGTACGATAGTCCTTGACCTCGATAAAGTGTTAATTTTTTAGATTCTGGTTTGTACAACTGTGCGATTCGTTTATAAAGGTCTCGTATAAAGAATCTTGCTTGGATAATGACATTAATCTTTTGTAATCGTAATGCTTGATTAATCAGGGTGGGGTGTGGGATGTGTGGGTGTGGGTGGGTGTGGGTTAGGGATGCACCAGTACCAGTATACTGGGTACTGGTAATACTGGTAAACCAGTATACTGGTGACCAGTAATACTGGTGGACCAGTATACTGGTGACCAGTAATACTGGTGGACCAGTATACTGGTGACCAGTATACTGGTGGACCAGTATTACTGGTGGACCAGTATTACTGGTGGACCAATATTACTGGTGGACCAGTATACTGGTGAACCAGTATTACCAATACCCAGTATACTGGTACTGATGCATCCCAACCAATAATTTAATCGAACATTTTAACTGATATAATCGAAAATACTGTCCCTAATTCTTTATGGTTTGGATTTATACTTACAAGTTGGACCTGGCACATAAATATAGTAGTCTAATTAGTGTTGACTAAAA